TTAGGCGCTAGCCTAACACGCGGGCGGCCTGGGTCCAATACCCGGCTCGGATGAATTTCTCGGGGAATATTTTTTAGGGATATTCACCGAGAAATTCACCTACGATGCCTCTTATCTGCACCCAGCCATCCAGGCCCTGTACGAGCGGGAGGCTGATAGAAAGTCTACGACTGAATGCAGTCGCCTATACCGATACAGGTTTCTGTTGTTCCTGTATGACTTCCTGTAAGGAGGGCGTTTAAAGCGGTGCAGTGTAAAAGTCGGCCACAGACGCAAATCCAATTCGCCAAAAAGGGCAGAAGGGGCGTAATATTAAAAAAAAATAGTAATTCCTAGGTTATTCCAAACTTGAATCGTTGATTGCAATATGTAAAGAGCATTGTCATCAATTCGCGAATGAATTCCTCTGTTTTTTTATGACGGGGAAGATCTAAATAATTATTTCTCGCTAAGTCTTATACAGAGTTTGAGGGATCTAATTCTATCGACCGTCGTAGGAGATAGTACGCGTTCTGGGGGAGGGCGAATTCTCGAAATTAGCTTCCCCTGCGGGCCCGAACACGTCTCATAAAGAATCCGCAATCTATACAATTCTTGGATCACTTACTGAGTCTTTTCTTTCAAACTAGATCAGATCTTTGATACCCGGGTTTGAACAAGTCTACACCATTCACTTCAGAAAATTGGATGTTGTAAGTTTTATCATACTATAATTGTATAGAGAAAGTTCCCTGTTCATGGAGGACATACTTCAGCGACTCGTATTACAATAGACGGATAAAATAATTTTTAGGGATTCCCAGCTATTTTTGTTTTCACATCTTCGAAAACTACAGCGATGTACAACGCCATCTGGGAGAAAGTTTTGGAAATGATACCTCAATTGCAAGAAAATGTCACAACTATCACCGGTGATTTTGAAGCAGCCCAAATCAAAAGCTTCAAGACTAATTTTCCCAATGCAAGAATTTGTGGCTGTTTAATTCATTTTAAGTCACCTAACTATATACATATATACACCTCATATTTTATCAGTATACCTATTTACCAAAATATACTACGATATTCCATAGGCAATTGTGAAAAAATGGGACAGCTTAGGAATTCAGAACTGCGAATTCATTTTGGACAAATCCTATGCTGTGGCTCACTTACCAGCGAAAGACATACCGGAGGGTATTCAACATGTCACAACACTGATCGATAGAGAGAACAAAGTTGATTTACAGACATTTGGTGCTTATTTGAGGTCGTACTGGGCTCCATTGAAAGACGTCTTGTCTGTTTTCAAGAACCCAATACGTACCAATAATACTTGTGAAAATTTCCATATGCACGCAGCCAAAATTATTGGGGTTCGCCAACCCACTTGGACCATGATGTGTCAGTACCCAAATGATTCAATTTTATATAATTTACATAGATACGTATTAGTGCTAGATCTTGGGCTCATCGTGCGAGTGAATAGTTTCAATCAATGTTATGAATGAATAGATATGCGGACTTTTTTTCATTACACCTGGTCGAGGAGTTGACCACCTTGCATGTAAGCTGGTTGAAATCCAGGCTTTGCATTTGCAGAGCCTTGGGATGTCATAGTAAGTCTCACGTATCTTACAAGTTTTTGCCGAAGCACAGACAAGCCGTGAACCAAGGGTTGTGATACGAGGCTCTTTTTTGAGCTTTAATGCCTTCGTCACAGCCGGGGGCATGGCATAAGTCATATGATATTCGTCTTGTCTTGTTTCTTTTGTGCTCTTGCATCATCACTGGGTAATTACGCGACAAAGGGTTGACTGATAAAGATAAGAGTGGAGAATCATTACCACCGAACAGTCATAATAATTTCATAGTCAAACCTCAGAGTATGCAGAGTTGACTATGAAATTAACGTTTGAGCATTATAACTAGCAAAAAGTAATAATGATGACAAAATGAGCCAGTTAATACACCAAACTATAAACAGTTGGCAATGGAAAATAAGGGTTGGGCATATTTCACATCAGCCATAGTAATTGTGACAAAATACGAGAATTTAACTTGACAAGACGCGAAGGATTGATAGATGAAAATAAGGGTTAGGCTTCATTGCCCCAAAGAGTGGTGGTGATGATGAAATAAGTAATTTTAACTCATCAAAGCATGAAAGGTCAGGAAATGAAAACGCGGGTTGAACATCGTTACAACTGAAAAATAATGATTATGTCAAAGCAAATCTTTTCCAAGTCATAACAGGTAGACAGACACAAGGCATTAACAATGAAAATAAGGACTGATCTCATATATGTCGAAATTAGTAATTATGACAAAATAAGTAGTTTATTGTGGTAAGATAATAAGGGTCGATCGAGGGAAATAGGGTTGATGTTCATTACTTCCAGCGAGGTAGTAATGGTGGTGACATAAGTAGTTTTAACTCGTCAAAGTATGAAGGGTCAATACATTAAAACAAGGGGTGAACATCGGTACTACTAAAAAGTAATGATTATGACAAAGAAAGTTTTTTCCAAGTCATAACTTAGGTAGAGCGCGAAATTATGTAGGGAACAATGTACAGACGACGGTAATTTCTTACGGGTTATAGCTAGAGATGGACGAGTGTGATAACACGTCATAAAATTTCATTACACAATGACCAATAATGATGAAAATTATACTCTCCACAGATGAAAATCTTTTGATGACGATCATTTTCCATCTATATAGATGTATTGCACCATACCAAGAATGTCTAATTGACTGACTGTGATAAATTAAGTTGTCTGTCATTTTCCATCACAAATTCTGTGACGTAATGTGACTTTTGCAAGACGGCCATTGTTTGGTCATATGACGTCAATTGAAAAACGACCCTTATTGCCCATCTCTAGTTATACCTCTCTAACCATGTGCCATTTTCAGCCAAACTATCTACGGTCATTGATACAACGATATCTGAATATCGGGTCTTGACAACCGGTGGTCGTCACAGATATTGGAGGCCACTAGATCTTCAACTGAATGATCAGGCCATTCACAGATTGGAAATTGATTTCGAAATAAATCGGTAAAATTGAAATATTTCTTATAACCTCAATTTACTAACTGGATTTTTCGTGTACTGCTTCAAGTCAACATCATTCTTCGATGCATTCATGTTTGCATTTCCTATCTTTAGATATGACGTTCCGAGTTTTCTGTTCGAAATGGCTAAACTGAGAAGGATTCACTTATCGAGAGGTTTATCGAAGACGATTTTTTTATTTCATTTCATTGCTTTTCAGGTGAAATTGTAATTCTAATTGAATATCTCACTTGTAGTGTACCTATTTGACGAACAAGAGCACATGCCAGTGGACAATAATCCAATAAATGTAGAAGAACAAGATTTCTTGATGAGAAATTTGGATGCTGATGCTGGCGCTAGTATATATACGTCTTTATCTACATGATTTATATATACGGTGTCACATAGCAACGAAGTTCATGTTTGATGAAAATGAATTATCCAAAGAAGTAGAGAGAAGATGAAATTTGGAGTCGCAGTTTCCTTTTCACTTTTGGATGATATGCTTCCTGGGGGTATTATTATCTTGCAAAGGTCGCCCAATGAAATGCATTTACTACCTGCTTCGNCGTCTTTATCTACATGATTTATATATGCGGTGTCACATAACAACGAAGTTCATGTTTGATGAAAATGAATTGTCCAAAGAAGTAGAGAGAAGATGAAATTTGGAGTCGCAGTTTCCTTTTCACTTTTGGATGATATGCTTCCTGGGGGTATTATTATCTTGCAAAGGTCGCCCAATGAAATGCATTTACTACCTGCTTCGTCTTGCAAAGCACGGGAAGGTTATAAGGTAGATTCCGACTGTCAAACTGATCATGAGTGACATCCAAGGTCTTCTTCTTTATTCAATTTTTCGTTATTCAGTCTTATTTTCTCAAAATATTGGCCTTCCACTCGACTTGACCTCGGATGTGAGGCAGGCAAAGCTCAAAAGTTATTGATTTTTATTTTATAGAGCGGCAATTAATTTATGAAATTTACGAAACTATTCATTTGATTTTCAATATGACTAAATAATGTAACAATTTACGCGGGAGAGCCCACTTGAGGAGACCCATAGAAGGAAATAACGATGAAATTTCACGAGAGACAGAATAGTTAAACGTGTATACATGAAGTGTTTCGGTTGGGAAGGGAACTAAATAAAGAACCGAATACTTACAATTAATAATTAACAATTAGGTTTGTTCAAATAANTGATTGAAAATTCGAGGAAAAAGGGAATCAGAGTTAAATTTGTAGATGTCATTGGCCTCTCGATCTCCGGTGATTATTATTGAGGAGTCTTCAGCACGGTATTGTTGTATGTGTGTATGTAGTAAAGTTATAAAAGTTCTTTGGAACTTTCCAACCAGACGAATACCTGAAAAATCATGNTTAATATTTACCATTATTAAGATGATGATTCTCCAGGAAGCATTGCATTGAAAAGTGGAATAGGACCTCTTAACTCCAACTTTCACCTTCTATGGAGGTGTTACGGGACACCATGCGAACAATTTATACAATAATCTATGCATAACCTTTGACACATCCATTCGTAGGTGGTTTTTTAGAAAATGAAGTGCAGGTTAGGAGGAGAAGAAGAGTGTTTGCCGGTAAAATCGTAATTGAAAGTCAGTGNCATAGTCAATGCATTTTCTTTGATCAACCTTTGTAAGATGATGATTCTCCAGGAAGCATTGCATTGAAAAGTGGAATAGGACCTCTTAACTCCAACTTTCACCTTCTATGGAGGTGTTACGGGACACCATGCGAACAATTTATACAATAATCTATGCATAACCTTTGACACATCCATTCGCAGGTGGTTTTTTAGAAAATGAAGTGCAGGTTAGGAGGAGAAGAAGAGTGTTTGCCGGTAAAATCGTAATTGAAAGTCAGTGCGAATATTAGAGCCCTATTCACTACAACATTCATTATTATCGTAGTTATCGATCGCCAACTCATGCCTGAGGCACCCCAACCTGCAGAGCAGCAACGGCAGAGAGCTGTGGCATCACGTAATCGTCAACCACGACGTGATGGGGCCGCAGCAGGGCCACCAGCTCCTGCAGCAAGTTCTCGAGGGCGCCGCCGTCGTCCACCACTGCAAGCTCCCATCCAGCCGAATGCCGAACATGCTGATGTCGCAGTTCCTGAAGTAGCACCAGCCCCTGTGACAAGATCTCGCGGGCGTCCCCGTCGAGTACCACTGGAAGCTCCTATCCAGCTGAATGCGGAACTAGCTGATGAGGCAGTTCCCGAAGCGGCAGCGGCAGAGATACCGCAGGCCCCACAACTAGTTCCACCAGAACAGATTGCACCTCATCCACGAGTGGCAATTGACGACGTACCGGTTCCTTTGAGGAGGCACCAAGAACATCCACGCCGAGGTACACTGCAAGCTCCCATCCAGCCGAATGCCGAACATGCTGATGTTGCAATTCCTGAAGTAGCACCAGCCCCTGTAACAAGATCTCGCGGGCGTTCCCGTCGAGTACCACTGGAAGCTCCCATCCAGCTGAATGCGGAACTAGCTGATAAGGCAGTTCCCGAAGCGGCAGCGGCAGAGATACCGCAGGCCCCACAACTAGTTCCACCAGAACAGATTGCACCTCATCCACGAGTGGCAATTGACGACGTACCGGTTCCTTTGAGGAGGCACCAAGAACATCCACGCCGAGGTACACTGCAAGCTCCCATCCAGCCGAATGCCGAACATGTTGATGTCGCAGTTCCTGCAGTAGCACCAGCTCCTGCGACAAGATCTCGCGGGCGTCCCCGTCGAGTACCACTGGAAGCTCCTATCCAGCTGAATGCGGAACTAGCTGATGAGGCAGTTCCCGAAGCGGCAGCGGCAGAGATACCGCAGGCCCCACAACTAGTTCCACCAGAACAGATTGCACCTCATCCACGAGTGGCAATTGACGACGTACCGGTTCCTTTGAGGAGGCACCAAGAACATCCACGCCGAGGTACACTGCAAGCTCCCATCCAGCCGAATGCCGAACATGCTGATGTCGCAGTTCCTGAAGTAGCACCAGCCCCTGTGACAAGATCTCGCGGGCGTCCCCGTCGAGTACCACTGGAAGCTCCCATCCAGCTGAATGCGGAACTAGCTGATAAGGCAGTTCCCGAAGCGGCAGCGGCAGAGATACCGCAGGCCCCACAACTAGTTCCACCAGAACAGATTGCACCTCATCCACGAGTGGCAATTGACGACGTACCGGTTCCTTTGAGGAGGCACCAAGAACATCCACGCCGAGGTACACTGCAAGCTGCCATCCAGCCGAATGCTGAACATGTTGATGTCGCAGTTCCTGCAGTAGCACCAGCTCCTGCGACAAGATCTCGCGGGCGTCCCCGTCGAGTACCACTGGAAGCTCCCATCCAGCTGAATGCCGAACTAGCTGATGAGGCCGTTCCCGACATGGCAGCGGCAGAGATACTGCCGGCCCCACAGCTAGTTCCACCAGAACAGATTGTACCTCAGCCTCCGGTGACATCTGGTGAGGNGAGCTACTGTCGGCCCCACAGCTAGTTCCACCAGAACAGATTGTACCTCAGCCTCCGGTGACATCTGGTGAGGCACCGGTTCCTTTGAGGAGGCACCAAGAGCATCCACGCCAAGGTACACTCCCACCTCCTATGCGAAGAGCTGCAGAACCAGTTGATGATGCACTTCCAGAAGAGCCAGAGCCAGCGGCCCTCGGGGACATTGCACCACGGGACCATGCGGTACCTCGCGGAGCAGCTATGGAGGTAGAGAGGAATGAAGAACCACCCAGGAAAAAGAAAAAAACCAGATGAGGTGGAAAACAACATCGTAAGAAAATTATAAACAAATTATTGGATGATATACATACAGGTATTGAGTACGTGAAATATTGAATTGGATGTATCACTGTATCTGATGAATTTATCCACATATATACCGTGTCCCATGACCGCGGACTTGATTTCTGAGGGTGGATAAAGGGTGAAATTTGGAGTCGACAGTTCCTCTTAAACTTTTTTGTTCTGGGTGGTAACCTAGATTCGGGAACTGTTCAAGTTCGGGGACTGTTCCAGATAGTAGCTTAGGTTCAGGAACTATTCCATGTAGATTTCCAGGTTCGGGGACTGTTCCGACCGGTAACCTAGTTTTGGGAACTGTTCCAAGTGGATGTCCATGTAGGAGAACTGTTCCAGGTTGCCGTGCAGGTTTGGGGACTGAGAACAATTCCCGAATCTGGACATCCACATGGAACAGTTCCTAAGCTACTATCTGGATCTAAGCTACTGTCTGGAACAGTCCCCGAACTTGGAGCTCCACAAAGTTGAAAAGGAACTTTCAACTCCAAATTTCACCCTCTAAATAAAGTCCGCGGTTATGGGACACGGTGTATACCGACGTACGGTGGTCCAGTCGGTTAGGCGCTAGCCTACCACGCGGGCGGCCTGGGTTCAATACCCGGCTCGGGTGAATTTCTTGGGGAATATTTTCAGGGATATTTACCGAGGAATTCACCTACGATGTCTCTTATCTGCACCCAGCCGTCCAGGCCCTGTACGAGCGGGAGGCTGATAGAAAGTGTACGACTAAATGCAGCCGCCTGCACCGGCATAGGTTTCTGTGGTTCCTGTGTCACTCTTTTCGGGGAGGGCGTCTAAAGCGGTGCAGTGTATAAGTCGGCCACAGATGCATAGCCAATTAACCCAAGGGGTAGAAAGGGCGTAAATAATTTCATTTTAAAAAAAAGGACACGGTGTATACAACCAATAATCGACCTTCTCAAGATGTTTTCATCCAAGTCCATAGAGTATATTATTTGTGCTCAATGTGTGTATGTATTCAGCTAATGATTTTCGATTATTATCTTACTAGTATCATTACATTATGGTCCATGCGTGGTTCGTACTTTTCGTTGTTAGTCTTATTCTTCGTCTTTCGCAGAAGGAATAGATTGAAAGATACCAGGATGATTCAGCGAACTAAGAATCATTCTTTGAACGACGAGGGGGAGTCTAGATGATAGAGCAAACAATATGCCTCTTGACGATAGTTTACCTCGGACGCCGAACGCGTAGACTTCTATGTACCTAGCTGCACCCTTCGGTAGGGTATAGATGCCAAATCGAATCCATCGAAGGAATGAGACGTAAAAAAATTGTAGATTTTTGCATTTCAATTGGCATTTTTAGTATAATATTTGGTGTGATTACTCGCTCGCGAG